TTCAGAACTTAGTTATCAAACCATTACATGCCATTCATGGTTTGGAAGCCTGTTGTGGTCAGTTAGTATATCTCTCTACAGCATAGGTCTGAGGTCAATATATAGCAGAAGTTTCTCTAGTTCTTAGAAACATTGTGTTGGCTTTCTTCTTTTCATTTGGAATTCTGTTCTTGAATATGCCATTCTTCAGCTCTTCTGCTTACTCTTTACAAACTCCTAGAAGCTTTTGTCATTGTGTTGCTATTTGACATCCTTAGGTGCTGTTTTTATTGCTCAAGAATATAACTTATGCACATAAATTTCCATGTGGTGGATCTCCTTTCCTTTACTATTACTTTTGCTTTCCCTTGATTGCACCTTTTAGCTGTCACTTAAAATAACTTCAAGGGGTTTCCGAATAACCACAGGTTGGTTATAACACGTTAAGTTGCATATTACAAGAAGAGTAAGAGGGATGTGGTTCTGGGAATATGTCAGTATTTCAAGTGTTCAATTCATTACACAGAGAGAAGACATTTTTGAAGATATTTAGGGTGGATATATGAATGCAAGCTAGAAAATGAATTCCCTGTGGCAGCGATGGCCGAGTGGTTAAGGCGTTGGACATGAAAATGAATTCCTAGTTATGGACATCAATTATCAGATTATGTTTTTCCATGGGTATCATTAATAGTCAAGGTGTGTTTAAAGATCTGATTTTCAGTTCTAAAAGTCATCTTGCCACTGGGGTGAGATAGTCTCTAGGTTACAAGTAAGAAACTATGGCTCAGAGACACAGTGGCCTTTTCAGGGATCCTTGGTAGTGTGTAATGGTATCAGACCTTAGTTACCCAAGTGGCTGCAATGTTCTGTTTTTGCATTAAGCTTCCCCATTAGGGATAGTTCCTTGGCACCTCTTCCAGAGGGCTCCTTCTGGGCATCAGTCTGAGGTTGCAAAGATATGTATTGTATAAATAACTTGTAACTAATTATGGATTTATGAGCAAAGATAAATGTTCTTCCCAGTCTCTTTTTAATCTTTCATTGGCAAAAAACAGGGAGCATGTCATTGTTTTCTGTTAAGCTCTGCTCTTCAGATATGTTCGGAAATATTTATAATCTGATAGATGCTGGATGTCCTTCTCCAGTGAAACCACTGCCCTGCAGGGAAGAGCCTGTCTCCCTTGACATTCACTCTTCTTTCCCTTGCCTAAATATCAATCCTGTTCTTCTTTTGGATTTCATCGAAATGGCATTTATTTAGAAGTTTCTCCTAACTGTTTCTCCCAGCCCAATCTCAAAAAATAAATGAGTAAATAACTAAGCAAGGTAGATATTACTCAATGAGGAACAATACCTTAGATTGTCCTCTGACCTCCATGTATATATACATACGTACACATACACTTACACATGCACCCAAACATACATGAACATGCTCAGACACATAAAATATTTTAAATATTTTTAAAAGATAACAGTAGGTATATAGGCAAGTTAGAATAGAGCATGTGCAATATGAAACACATACACCAAAAAAATCCCACCAAATATTATTTACTACCATATGGATAGAGATAAAAAATGTGAGAACATACAAAGACATAAAACAGCCCCCTCAGGAGACTGGTTGTGTCTGAGGAAAGGAGCAGGTACAATGCGATGGTGGATCTTAGGATTCATCAATCATGTTTTACTTTTGGCATTTCTTATGCCTGGGTATAGGGTATTCTTTACATTAACTTCTACATTTTTTGTTGGCTTGAAATGTAATCATTGTAAAATTAAGCTACATCATGTAAAGTTAATATCTGTGAAACTGGAAGAACAGTCTTGAGTTTCTTCATTTAGTCCTCGGTTCTTGACTCTACAACCTCTCCAAAGAGTCTTGTTGTCAGTGCTGAACAAAATTTGCCACCTTATCCACCAAGACGTAGTGCCATTTAAAAGTGCTGATGCTAAGTTCAGACTCCATAGTTCAAAGATCCACATAGACCTCTCTAGACCTTTAAGAATGCTCCTTAAGATCTTTCATTACCACCTGTAGCTTGCCCAGCCTCTCTTCTTACCCAACTTAAATTAGTTTTTTCAGTTAACAGTTCATGAAATCTCTCATACACTTTAGACTAGGGTCTGTTTTTTTCTCCATAGTCTTATATCACTGTATTGTTTATACACTGTATATACATAGTCTTATATCACTGTTTTGTACCTCACCAAAAAATTATTTTATTCTCTTCCCAAAATAAATAAGACTCTTTTACTAAATAGTTTTAGCATGAGGGTAAAGGATTTCATTATGGCATTTCATACACATGTGTTATTGTGTGTTCTTGGTTCTTAGTCATATATCCTCCTCTCCTTCATTTTTCCTTTCACTGATCCCTGTTCCATAACAAGTCTTTCTCTGCTCCCCCAACCCCCAGCTCACAAATATTAACACAGAGACAGTGTTAATTATGAAAGCTCAGCCTATAACTTAGGCTTCCTAACTAGCTCTTATATCTTAAATTGCTCCATTTCTATTACTCTACATTTTACCAGATGGCCTTTTACCTTTCTTTCATTCTGTATGTCCAACTTCCTCCATGCCTCATTGGAGTTCTCCCCTATACCTGGATTATCTCCTCCTCTCTGCCCAGAAATTCCACCTATACCTCTTGCCTACTACCTATTGGCTATTCAGCTCTTTATTAAACCAATCATAGCAATATACTTCTCTCTCTCTCTCTCTCTCTC